TATATATATAAATAAAATCTAAACTGAAAAAGGCCAACAAAGTAGTAACATATAAGTATTTCCCAATACTATTACATTTCTTTTACCTGTTAAAATTTTGTTTAAAGTTTATTTTTATTTTTAATTATGTGTATGTGTCTGTGTGGGAGTATATACGTGTGTGCAGATGCCCACAGAAGCCAGAGGTATCAGATCCCCTGAAGCTGGAGTTAAAGGAGTTGTGATCTGCCAAACCTGGGTCCTGTGAAAGAGCAGAACTACTGCTGAGCAGTCTGTCCAGTCCTTCAGTCCTCCTCCCCTCTTGTAAGATTTGTTAAGACCTTTTCTGGAAAAAGGGTCTATGCCATCCAGACTCTCTAAGTAGACTATGCTGTCCCTGAACTCAGAAATCTACCTGCCTCAAAGACTTTTCAAAAGTAATGAAATCTGTCTCTTACCTTTGTGTACAGAAGTCACAGGACTTAAGCCTTGAGAAGCAGATCCCCGGGAAGAACTGCCTTGAGGTGAGGTACTATTATCAACACTTATTGTACTCTGAATCAGAGGCACACAGACCTATTAGGATAAATGAAAACAAAACAGCAATAATCTCACTTGAAAATTTCTTTTAAACTTTACAAATCTACTTTAAGCAATCTTCATTCTTCTGACACAGGCATAGAGCACCCCAAATTTAAAATCCTAAAAATTTCTAAACACAGTATCAGTTTTGATTCAAGTGGAAAATTCTACATGTAACCAACCAATCTCATGGAAGGGATAGCAAAATAAATACATGTACAAGTGCCTTCAGGGCATATATAAAGTATATGAAACACATGAACTTCATGTTTAGACTTGAGTCCTATCCCTAAGTGATGTATATTCAAATATCACAAGATCTGGAAAAAATCCCGAAACACAAAACATTTCTAGTCCTAAGCATTTAAAAATTGTTTTTTTATGTGTATGTTTTTTGTGCATGTAAGTGTACTTTGTGCATGAAATTTAAGGAGACCAGAAAGAATTGGAAAAGGTATACATTATCAGCACTATTTATTCCCTTTGAACTATTAAAATGTCAGAAACAGACACCAGAATTAACAAAATAAACTAAAAACTCACAAAGGTTTAGATCAGATTTAGTATTTTTATCCCAGTAAGCATATAAAATAATTGGTTGAAACTACATACTCTAGAAAAAGGAGAGAAAAAGAATTTTGCTTCTACCAACCTTGAATCTACCCAGTAGTATAGCACTTGCTATTTTATTTCACTAATGTTCATTAGTTGATGGCTAAACAGTTTTTTTAAAAAAAAATTCTTTTTAGGGGCTCAGCAGTTAAAAGTACTTACTGCTCTTGCAAAGGACCAAGGATCAATCCCAAACTCACAAAACCGTCACAATCATCTGTAAATCAATTAAAGGGTTTCCCAACCCTCTTCTGGACTCCCTAGTCACCAGGCATACACACATGGTACACATACATGCATGTATGCAGGCAAAATATTCACATACATAAAATTTTTAAAAATCTTAAGACCTTTTCAAAATAATAAATGTTCCTACACTAAGAATAGGTACTGCAGCATTTGCTGATTGAAGTGGTAAATGGATAGGTCATTTCAGGCCACTGGAGAATACTCTTTGCAGGAAATGAGCTCAGGTTCTCAACCAAAAAAAGTATCTTTCATTTACTGAGGTATATGGGCACATATCAAAAGCAATAAAAACAGATGAGATGAAACTGGTAAGAATTTAAGGACACACACAGGTGTACACATCAATAATCCCAGCACATGGGAGGCAGAGGCAGGCAGACCTCTATGAATTCCAGGCCCATCTTGTTATCAAGAGGTCCAGGCCAGCTAGAGCTACATAGTGAGATGTTGTCTCAAAAAAATAAATAAATATATATAATATTTTTTAATTAAAAATTAGGACGTTAATAAAAACACAGTTAATAATTGCAATGTTACCTGTTCAAAATTGCCAGGAAGCTGAGGTCCAAGTCTCATCAGTAAATACCACCACACTTCTAGATTTGATAGTAGTAAGAGTTGTATTCTTAAGGATAACTAAATTGAGACGACAATTTAATTAAAAATTAGGACGTTAATAAAAACACAGTTAATAATTGCAATGTTACCTGTTCAAAATTGCCAGGAAGCTGAGGTCCAAGTCTCATCAGTAAATACCACCAGACTTCTAGTTTTGTTAGTGCTAGAGTTTCTGTTCTCACATGGATGGAACTCAAAGGCTGCATCAACAACTTGAGTCTTTTTGCACTACAAAGTATATCTTAAAGGAAAAGAAGCACACAGGTAAAAGATCATAGTAAGAAAACAGAGGAAAAACTAGCAACTTTTCACTTAGACAAATTATAGTACAGACAGACCAAAAACACAGAATATAAATTTTAATATTAGATGTTATGTAACATAATGGGGACAATATTCCCAGGAGGGAATGTAGACCTGTGACAATGTCTACAATACTTTCGGTTGTTATAACTAAAAGGATGTTACTAGTATCGCATTGGTTGAAACCACATATACTACAATTTCCTAAAAGACACGGAGGCAATAAACTAGTATTAATACCTTATATCTACAATCCTAACCCTCAGAAGGCTCAGACCAGGGAGTAGGCCAGCATAGGCCATGAGATTCTGTCTCAAAAGAAATAGAAGCCTGTTTTTACATTAGGTCAAAGGGGGGGGGGTATTAATTTTTGGATTCGATTCCCAGCACCCGCATGGCAGCTACAAACCATCCTTAAGCCCTCTTCTGACCTCTATGGCACTGCACAACTCGGGCACACTCACACACATGCAGGCAATACACTCATCCACATAAAATAAAAATAAAAAATAAAGTTTTTTTTTTTTTTAAAAAAGAGCTTTTTAAAATCAAGCACAAGGGGCTGGAGAGATGGCTCAGTGGTTAAGAACACTGACTGTTCTTGCAGAAGACCCAGGTTCAAATCCCAGCACCCACATGGCAGCTAACAACTGTCCGTAACTCCAGTTCCAGGGAATATGACAGTCTCTTCTGTTCTCCGCGGGCATTGCACGACACGGGTGCACTCACCTACATGCAGGCAATACACGCATACACATAAAAATACTAAATACCCCCCCCCAAAAAAATCACACAATTATTTGGGGCCTTTATATAGAAAGCTAGACAGATTCTGGTCTACCCTACTTTAATGATTGTTGCTGGGCGTGTTAGTGCATGCCTTTAATCCCAGCACTTGGGAGGCAGGTGGATCTCTGTGAGTTCAAGGCCAGCCTGGTCTACATAATGAGTTCCAGGACACCTGGGGCTTACAGGGAGACCCTGTCTCAAAAAGACCAAAAAAAGATTGTTAAACTTCACCAGACAAACGAAACCAAATTACTGTTCTGGATTTTCTTGTTGTTCTTTTTGAGACAGGGTCTCCCTGTAGCCCCAGCTGGACTAGAACTTGCTAGGTAGACCAGGCTGGCCTTCATCTCAGAGATACACCTGCCTCTGCCTCCTAAAGTACTGGGATTAAAGGTCAGCATCAATATATCAGGACATTTTTTTTAATATTCTTATTTTGGGGTGGGAGAGATGGTTCAGTGACCAGAAGACCCAGGTTTGAAATCCAGCACCCACACAGCAGCTAACAACCATCTGTAACTTCAGTTCCAGGGAATATGACACCTTCTTCTAAACTCCACGGGCAATGCATGACACGGGTGCACTTACACACAAGCTAGCAATGCACTCAATACACATAAAATAAAAATAAAGTATGTTTTTACAAATAAATGCAAAAAAAAATTCCTTTTTAAAATTCTTTGTGTTTCTGTGGGGCTGCCCATGGAGGCCAGAAGAGGGCTAGAGCTGGAGTTAACACAGAAAAGTGTAAGCTTCCTGGCAACAGTGCTGGAAACCAACTCAGGTCTCTGGAAGAGAAGCATCTCTCCAGCCCCTGAAACTCAATTCTTTAAACAATATTTATACTTAATAGGTACTGCTACCTGAGGTTTGGGATACATACATTTAAGACATAGCCTTTGCTCAAGTATCCTGTCACAAAGACCTGAGGACTCTGAGACATCAGCAAAGCCATGTATTTAATGGAATATCTTCCACCAATGTTTCTATCATTTAGCTGTTTCAATTAATACTCCTACTAAGAAAATCAAGTTCAGAAGTCATGGGATGTAGCTCAGTGGTAGATCACTACACACAAGGCCCTGAGTTCAATTCAACATTACCATGTACATAGTGAAGATCCCTGTGAGAAGTCCCCCAATCCAAGACACTTTCTTTTTAGAATTTCTATTACTCTATTCGTAAAAGGGCCTCCTCAGTATTAGCAAAGTGATGATTTACAAACTGTCCATAATGAGTTCATACCAGTCATAACCTTTCTCTTACCAAACATAATACTGCTAAATACAGATGTACTTGCCAGTTAATAAGCAAATATCTTTAGAAAGTAACAAGATTTCCAATTAAAAATTATGTCCCCAAATGTACTTTTATCAGTATTTCAGAAAATAGTATCAAAAATTGCCTTAATACAGTAAAAAGTGGGGCAGAAGAAAACAAGATGAAATCAATGTTATCAACAGAGATTACAAACATTCAGGATCAATCAAAATAGGATTAGCTGTCATGTAACTGATAAGTCTTCATACTGACCTTTTAGGCTAAATACTCTTCATAAACATAAGTAAAGGCATTTTTGAGTGATACAAGAAGAAAAATCTCCTAAATCACTAATATTTTCAGTTCAAGACTATCATCACTATTTCTTGTCATATATTGGTTTCTAAAATAGTCATGAGCTCCAGTTTAGTATCATGACTTTCAAAGTGATGTACATAAAATGCTCAACTTTATTGGAAAGTCACAAGTAGTATCTTGCACTTTGTTTAATTTCTGAAATGATTTAAGACAAAGCCTGTATTAGCTATTTTCAATAATGTGTCTTAAATCTTATTTAAAAAAATAGAGAGAGAGCTATTCTCTTAAAAGTTAATGAGAATAAAGTTTCATTATAAAGTCCAAAGAATGAGAAAAGGGCTTCATTGTTTAGTCTTTACTTACAAGTAAAATAAAGTCATAGAAAATTAAAAATTTGGCTAATTTGTGCTACCTGCTGAGTTCAACCTCTGAAAAACAAAGCAACCCACCTGGTAAGATTTCTCAGGGGTAAAGCACTTGCTGTAAAAGCATGATGTTTTAAGTTTGATCCCCAGAAGCCATGTCAAGGTGGAGAGAACAGACTTCCAAAGTTGTCCTCTGACCTCCCATGTGCCCCAGACCCCACCAGACATATACACACACAAAATTAAAAACAGAACCTAAAAAAAAAAAAAAAACACAAAAAAACACCTACTTACATACCTGGATTTAAAGCAAAATTATCTATTAAACTTTTCCAAGCAATAAAAGCTATTTTCTTAATCATGGGTGTTCCGCTACGAAATCCTAGTTCTTCTAGCTGTAACAAAGAATTGATGAAACTTCCACTTCGATGCAAGGTCTGGGAAAAGAGAAAAATCAAAGTTATTTATCTGTAAGAAATAATTTATTTATCCACTTAATATATGCTCATAGGAAATAAAACCACACTACCTACAAACACAAAAAAAATTTGTTATGTGGGGCCAGGGAGAAGGCTCAGTGGAAAATCACTTGCCATGTAAGCCCAATGACCAGGAGCTTGGAAGCCTGAGTAAAGGAGGTGGGGACAGGAATCCAATGGCCGCTGGTTAGGTGATTAAGAGCAATGGTGAACTCAGATTCAGCAAGAGCTTGCCTTGGTAAAATACAATGAAGAATGTTCAGGGAAGACACCCAACATCAATCTCTAGCTTCCATGTACGTGTACAAACATGCATACACACATATGCAAACACATTCATGCATGCACATACACACCATGTACACAAAGAAAAACATGTGTTATTAACACATATCTAAAATCTTATGAATCTGAATTTAATATTGAACTATACACACATTCCAAATTTAATTACTATCACAAGACATAAAGCTCAATGAATTTTCTTAACAAATGCTGGAATTACAAGTGTCATTACACCCAACTAACCATATATAATCTTAACAGAAATCTATTGAAGTTAATACATTCAATGATATATTCACTATGATGGCCCATGCCTACAATCTCAGCACTCTGGATGCTTAGGCAAGCAGACTGCTGTATGCTTCAGACCAGTCTGGATGGGCTACACAGTAAAATCAAGGCCAGTCTGCACTCCATTAAAAGACCTTGTCCACAAAAAATTAAATTACAAAATATAGTAAAGTTACAGGAGACCAAGGTCAGCCAACACATTTATATGGTTGTACACCAACCAAAAAGGTATAAGACAAAGTAATTCCATTACACAGCACCTAAAAAATCTAAATACAATCATGCATCACTAAACATCAGAAGTTTGTTATTATGCAGTCAAACTTAGATGGAATAGCCTTCCACATACCAAGTATTTATGGTATGTACACGCATACACACACACTCTTCCCTCATGCACACAAGTGAACATAATAAATTTATTAAAAAGCCAGATGGCACTGTTGTAAATGCCACCCAAGTTTGACCTCTGGCCTTCACATGCACACACATGAACATGCACATGAATATATACATAAAAATGAGGTGGCCACAGTGGTTCAATAGTATAAACCCAGAACTTGGGAGGCTGACACAAAGGGATTGTCAAACTGTAGGACTAGGCTATGTGAGGAGATCCACAGCAGCTTGAGCTACAGTTTTAAGAATCCACCTCAAAAATAAAATTCCTGGCATATAAAAATTATTAACTGTTCACTATTTTGACACTTACCTTTCCAAGAAGCTTGACAAACAAAGGCCATAATTTTAACACATAGGTCTCATTTTTACTCACAAATAGCTTTTGGAGTTCTGAGATTAATTTCTGTAAACAAAAATAAAATATTTACCAAACAATAAAAAAACCCTAATAATTTATTCTGAGCCAAATAATCTCTTGAACAATAAAAGCATACACTCAAAAGAAACCAAAAGAAAAGCTGAAGCATATAGCAACCTGAAAATTTTCTACAGTTAAAAAATCAAACAAAACAAAAAACCCCTAGGTTTTACAAATAACACTTAAAAAGATTTTTATGTGTGTGTTTGCCTGCAATGTATGAATGTGCATATATGTGTAGTACCTGCAGAAACCAGAAGGGGTGTTGGCTACCCTGGAGCTGGAGTTGAAATGGTTGTTAACCTCTGCCTCACAGCGGGGGTTGAGGGGTAGAGGTAGGTAGGTATCTGTGAGTTCCAGGCCAGCTGGGGCTATAGGGAGACCCTGCCTCAAAAAGACGGGGCAGGTGGGGGGGTATGGTTGTTAGCCACCATGTGAGTACTGGGAACCAAACCCAGGTCCTCTGTGAGAATAGCAATTGCTCTTAATGGCTGAGCCCTCTCTAGTCACTAACATTTTAATGTGCTCATCTGACCATCCTGTCATCCACTAACTCAGCTCCTATTTTTCCTGTCAGGATTTTCTTAAAATCTTCAGAGGGGGGCTGGAGAGATTGCTCAGCAGTTAAGAGCACTGGCTGCTCTTTCAGAGGACCCAGGTTTGATTTCCAGCACCCACGTGATGGCCAATGGCGGCTAACAACCTCCCTTAACTCCATTTCCAGGGGATCTGACACCCTCTTTTGACCTCCCCAGGCATTATGCGACACATGTGCACCTACCTACATTACATTCATATACATAAAATAAAAACAATAAAAAGAATATTTACAAACTTTAGAGGGTACATCATTAACTGAAATTCAAATGATATTGCAATAATCTCAAACTAATAACTTTAAAAATAAAATAGCTTCATAGTAAAGTTCTGGAGTAGGCTAGTGGTATAGTCCACACCTTTAATCCTAGCACTTGGGATACAAACAAAGGCAGGAGGATCTCTTGTGAATTCAATGCCAGTCTGGTCTGGTCACTGCCAGTCTGGTCTAGCCAGTGAGTTCAAGACCAGCTAGAGCTACAGGAGACCCTGTCTCAAAAAGACAAAAAAAGTTCTGGAGTTTGTAAGATGGTTCAGTAGGTAAAAGCTCATGTGGTACAAGCCTAACTATCTGCAAGCCTGACAAGCCTGAGTTCCATTCCAGAACCCAAGTACGAATGATTCCCAAAAACTGTCCTCTGATCACACACGTACTGTGGCATGTGCATTCTGGCACTCATACACACGATAAAATAAATTTTAAAATGAAAAATTTTTAATTAAAAGTTCTGGCTCAAATGTATAAATTATTGTGATGGCTAATCCTGGGTGTCAACTTGATTTGATCTGAGATTAACTGAAATGAAAGAGAACTTCTTGATTGGATCATCTAAAGCCGGAAGACACACCCTAAATGTGGGTGTTACCTTCTGATGGCAGCCGGTTTAAAGACCAAGGCAGAGGAGAACACGGGGCTTTTTGCGGCTTGCCTTCTCTCTCGCTGGTGGGTTCGTCTTGCTGCTGTAGACCGAAGACTAGCTGATATTTTGGAATTTGTCAGACCTCCAGCACCAGATTGGGACTACTGAGACATCCAGCCTTGTGGACTGAGCGACTACAGATTCTCAGCCTCTCCAGTGTGGTGCAGCCATTGTTGGACTACTCGGACTCTATCCTGTGAGCTAAGCTGATAAATCTTTATACATATTCATTCTACTGGTTCTGTTTCTTTGGAGAACCCTGACTAATACAATTATTTAGGAAACAAGGGAGATGACTCAGTGAATAAAGTGCTTTCTATACAAGTATGAAGACCTGGGTTCAGATCACCAGCACCCAGGTAAAAAAAAAAACTAAGTGTAGAGTATAATGCTGATAATGCCAGTGATGGGGTGGGGCCTTGCTGGCCTGCCAGACTAGCTAATCAGTGAACTCCAGGTTCAGTGAGACCTTGTTTCAAAAATACAAGATGGGGGCTGGAGAGACGGCTCAGCTGTTAAAGAGCACTGACTGCTCTTGCAGAGGACCCGGGTTCGATTCCCAGCACTCACATGGCAGCTACGAATCGTCCTTAACTCCAGTTCCAGGGAAAGTCAAAGCCCTCTTCTGACTTCCACAGCACTGCACGACATGGGTGCACTCACATACATGCACGCAATACACTCATACACAAAAAATAAATAAATAAAATCTAAAAAAAAACCAAGACGAGAACAAGACAACAGACACTGACATCTGGCTTCTGTGCACATATGCACAAACATGCACACATACACATGAATAAAAAGGTACTTTAGGGGCTGGAGAGATGGCAAAATGGTTGAGTGCTTACTGCTCTTGCAGACCTGGGTTCAGTTTCCAACATTCATACGGGAGCTCAAAACAATCTTTAATAGCGCCAGTGGATTAAGCACCCTCTTCTGTTGGGTGAGGGCTCCTAACGCATGTGGTGCACACAAACTCACACAAGCAAATACATATACACATAAATACAATAATAATACTTTACTTCATATGCTATTTAAAATTAATTTATCAGAATAAAACAGTTCTTGAAGGTAACAGAATCACATACTTACTTTAAACATTACCCACAAGTCTTAATTTTAAAACCAGAACTCCAGGTTTTAGAATCTGGAAAGTTCCCTCAGTGCCTAGATTATCATTCAACCTCCTGCTCAATCACCCTGCAACTCTACCCCACTGCAACCCCAGTTCTCATTTTCAGCCAGAGTAATTTCTTTAAATCCAAATTCAAGTCAGTAAATATTTCTCTCAATATTTCTCTTAAGCTCAAAATATGCAAATGTAATTATGGACTGAATATGCATATCCTCCAGAGGTTCATGCTTTGACTACTTAGTCCCTACCTAGTGGAGCTATTTGGGGGGGGGGGGTATATGTGTGTGGGTGCATGCGTGTGTGGAGGTCAGAGGACAATTTGTAGGAGTAGGTTCTTTCCTTCCATCGTGTAGGTCCCAGAAACTGAACTCGAGTCCCCAGGCTTGTCAACGAGTCCTTATTCACTGGCCCTACAGCTATCTTAGAAGGTTCTCAAAATTAGAAGATTGGTTCATTTTGAGAAAGCACAATAGTGGGCATGTCACTGCATGGCATAGCTTACCCTAGGCCCTTCCAATTCTCTGCTTCCTATTATTACTAATTTTAATTCTTTAAAGACAATCTCATTATGTTACTCTAACTGGCCTGTCACTTGCTATGCATACCAGGCTGTCTTAAAACTTAAGAGACTCATTTGTCTATGGCCCTCAGGTGCTAGGATCACAGATGTATGCTGTCCACTATGAGATGAAACAGATCCCTGTGGAGCTGGAGAGATGGCTCAGCGGTTAAGAGCACTGGTTGCTCTTGCAGAGGACCCAGGTTCAATTCCTAGCACCCACACTGCCTTCTTCTGACCTCTGAGGGTATTGCACAACACAGGTACACCTACCTACATGCAGGCAATACACTCGCACGCATAAAAATAAAAGTAAAAATAAGAAAGCATATCCCCTGCAACATATTCCCGCCACCATGACGTTCAGGAAAAATATCCAAGCCTCTAAAACCAGGGACCAAAAGAAATTCTTCCTCTTCTCTAGCTGTTTCACTCAAGAATATATATCACAGCAAGTAACCAGCATGTGGCTTTGCCTTTAAATCACTGTATTATCAGAACTTTTTAAGAGCTTGGGAAATAACTGAGCAGGTAAAATGTTTGAAGGGTAAGCATGAAGACCTAAAATTGATCTCCATGTTGAAAAAACGGACATTGTAGTGAGTGAAATCCCAATGCTGGGAAGGTTAAAAGATTCCCAGGTTTCATTGGCCATTGATTTCACGACCAGTGAAAGACTGTCTAAAACACAAAGGTGGATGATGCAAGAGGAATACTCAAGATTGTTCTATGTACCTCTACATGTATACAAGCACCCACACAAACACACAAGCACCCATGCATATATGCACATGTGCACACACAGAAATCAAAACCTTACAATGGGCCAGGTATGGTGGCACAGGCCTTTAATCCCAGCACTGAAGAGGCAACAGCAAGCAGACCACTCACTGAGAGTTCAAGGCCACCTGGGTCTGTCTATATAGTAAGTTCCAGGCCAGTAAGGGCTATATAGTAAGACCCTGACGCCCCTCCCACCAGAAAAGGGTCCTTAAGGCCCTTTACCCTGGACATTCTCCTACTGCAAAAGACTGCCCATGACATTCCCTGAGACAAACTAGGTGCACAAACAGCTACAGGCCCTTTTGCACTCAGCTTTCTTACCTAAAATGAGCTGATCCTATTCTTATTATCCATACAGCAAATTCTCACAAAGCCTTTAAGTCACTGTATATCATGTTTGTTTTTTTTTAATTATTTTTATTTTATGTGTATGTGTGTATTGCCTGCATGTAGGAAAGTGTACCCATGTTGTGCAATGCTCTTGGAGAGCCTAAGAGGCTGTCAGATCTCCTGGGATTGGAGTTACCAACAGCTGTTAGCAGTTGTATTATGTGGGTGCTGGGATTCGAACCTGGGTCTTCTGCAAGAACAACCAGTGTTCTTAACTGCTGAGCCATCTCTTCAGTCCCCAAATGTCATGATTTTAACATTTACTCAGTACACTATATACGCCATCCTTTTTCTTGTATTAGAAAGTAAATCTTGCAAAGCCTTATTCATACCATAGTAACAATACCTAGAATAATGCACTGTATATGACAGATGCTCAATAAATACCACAAGAGCAAGAGCTGGCAAACCTAAGACCTAAAGCAGTAACCAGGAAATTGTAGACAGTATATGAGCTTATTGCATTAAATTTTATCTACTGAGATGCTACAGTAAACACCCCAGTAATACTATATCAGCCTCTGCTCTTCCTCTTTCAGAAATACAATTCCTCTTTATTCATCAGATACAACACCTAGCCTTTAGTAAAAATGAGTATGAATAGACAACTCACTTGTTATGAGTTATAACTAAGTTAAAAAAACTTTTTTTCAGATTTTTTTGTTTTGTCTTGTGAGGCTGAGGACTGAACACAGTGCATCGTAAGTAAACACTCTACCACTGACATAAATGCCCAACCCAATTTTTTGTTCTTATTCAGAACTAAACTACTTGGTCATAGTCTAATTTTACCAACGAGCCCAGGATACATCTTAAGCTTGAAGTAGAACTTAATGCAGAATTTAGGAAAAATTCTTATACAACACAAAATACTCACAGTAGTCATAAGATGCTCTGTAATTGATGCTATTTCTTGTTGTTTCTGAAGCAACAATGGCATTCCCATCTCTAGAGCAGTGGCTCCCCGCAAATGTACTTTTTGTGCTGAATGAACAACTAATGGTATAACCAATTTGGCCCACCTCACAGACTCTTCTCCCATTTGAATTGGGGCTTGTTCAATTAGCCTACAATAGAGAAATCAATATCTAAATTAAAGGTAAAAATGAGGTCAAAGGCGGGACATGGTGGTATGTGCCTTTAATCTCAGTACTAGAGGGGTAGTGGCAGGCAGATCTCTGAAGTTCAGAGCCAGCCTAGTCTGACCAGATCCAGGCCAGGTAGGGCTACATAGTGAAACTACCTTTAAAAATAGATTATGTGGTCATTTTCTTGAGATCCCAGATGCATTTCTAACAAGGGACAAATGAGAAAGCAAGAAAATGACCACACAATCTTCTATTTAAAACTTTATCAACAATTAGTGTTGTTAAATATGTAAACTGTATTGCTGCACATAAAGGTTAAAAAAAACAGAATGGGAGTAGGAGGCTCCTGGAACCTCTGACCTTATCAGTTTCATTTTCTGTAAATGGGATAAAATCTATACATCATTCAAAAAATAAATAATAAAAAAAGTGGGCTGGAGAGATGGCTCAGAAGTTAAAAGCACTGGTTGCTCTTGCAGAGGACCTGGGTTTGGTTCCCAACACTGACATGGTGGCTAACAACCTCCTGTAACTCCAGTGTCATGGATCCAATGCCCTCTTCTGGCTTCCATGAGCAAGTCATGACAGAAGGGCACTTATACACATAAAATAAAAATAAATTTAAAAATTTTCAAAAAATAAGAAAAAAGTGAGATTAAGCTAAACTACCAAGAAACTGGGCTGGGTGACACAGCCAGCTATCCAAGTGGCCAAGGCAAGGGGGTTACAAGTTCAAGGCCTACCTAGCCTATATAATGAATTTAAGGTCAGCCTGGATAACTTATTGAGACTGTCTCATATTAAAAGAAAAAAGAGAAAGATCTGGTTGGGGGAGTAGCTCAATGATAGGAACTTGCGCTCAAAGCTCTAGGCTTTTCTCCTTCACACTGTAAAACTAGCAGGAAAATATACCTAACATTATCCAGTTGTTTTAGAATGTATACATACATATATACAAGTAGATTAAACGGTCACCTGTATACATTTATAGTGTATGCTGGGGTTTTTTGGGCTGTTTTATTTATTTTGTGAAGTTCTTTGTAGCCCTAAGGATTAAACCCAGCACCTCATGCATGAAAAAGAAGCACTCTATCATTGAGCTACACTCTTAGACTTGTTTCCACAAAATGTTTAAATAAGGAAAACAATCTTGAGCATAGAGTGAAAATTTTTAAAATACCTTATGGGCTGGTAAAGATGACTCAGCAGGTTAAGGTGTCTGCTGACCTGATTTTGATTTCTGGGACCCACATGGTAGAAAGAACCAATTTCTTTCTCTCTTTTTTTTTTGGTCTTTTTGAGACAGGGTCTTCCTGTAGCCCCAGCTGACCTGGAACTTGACAAACTGACCAGGTTGGCCTTAAACTCACAGAAATCTGCCTGCCTCTGCTAGAGGGATTAAAGGCCACCACCATGTCTGGTCTCTTTCTTTTTCTTGAGACAGGGTCTCCCAAGCTGGTCTGGAACTATGTAGACCAGGCTGGCCTGGAACTCAGAGATCTGCCTGCCTGTCTCCCAAGCACTGGGATTAAAGGCGTGTGCCACCACACCCAGTGGAAAGAACCAATTTCATCATGTTGTCTGCTGACCTCCACAAAGGCACAATGGCATGTGCATGCCACATTCCCCAAATAAATGTAGTTTCAGAAAATTAAAAATAGTGTATACCATTAAACTGAACATTATTAAAAGCTACCAGAGCAATATGATATCATCTAAGAGTCAACTACAGCATCCGAATAATTAAAGCAAAAGCTTAATTATGGAAGAAAACATTTGGAGACTGAAAAACAAAGTTTGTGCTGTTAGCATGTCTGTTAAGAGTAAGGGACTAAGATGTTCCTGGCTAGGCTCACCGATGAGTGTATTCGTTTTCAAAGCCTTAACATAGAATTTTCAGAACCAGAACTGTTGTAATAAACAGAAGTAGTTTCATTGAGACTGTTTCAATAAAAATAAACCTAGCAACTTACACATACCTTCTTCTACCTTTTTTTTGCTTAAATTTTTTGGTCTAAATGATACTCCCTTTCTTTTGTGTGTGTGTGTACACATGCACATGTGTGTTTTCATTTTTGTGAGCATGTGTGGAGGTCAGGACAACTTGCATGAGTCAGGTCTCCTCCTATCACGTGGGTTCCAGGAATCAAACGCAGACTGTCAGACGTGTTAGGTGGCAAGTGCCTTATTCGCTGAGCCATCTTGCCAGCCCTGGTATTCCCTTCTTTTAACATTTATCTTATATTTAAATCTACAAACTCCAATGTTTACTCTAATTTACACAAGAACCAATTTCATACCTTATAATAACATTTAATGCTTCAAAATCAACAACAGCAGAATGTGTCCCTCCTTTGTTTAATACTACTTCCAGTGAATCAATTATACTAGATACCTAAAAGACAAAATAAGTCAATATAAGTCAAATGAGCCAGATTTGCTTCACTGACACATAATTGAGATATACAGAAACTATACTTACCATTTTGTTGACAACTTCAGTAGGAAATGTCTGTTTGGATATTACCCAAAGTGCCCTGGTACATACATTTTTGTCTGAACTCTTAATGATACTGCTCAATTTTAAAAGCAATTCTTGAATATTTGCCCCTGAAAAGCAAGCAGTTTTAATTTCAATTAGTTATGATCTTTAAATTCTCAAATACAGAGAGACCATGTCTCAAAAACTACAACAACAAAAATCTCAAATATAAAGTAAAGAAAAATAATGTTAACTGCAGATTTAGGGAAGGATCAAGATGGATCAGAACCAACAGAGAGTAAAGATACTGACTGGTATGACACTTCTTCCCAAAAAACAACCCCAGACCAAAGGGAAGATACAGCTGAGAAAAACACACACCAGTAGCACACTTCAGATCAGTCATCTTATGCAAATAAATCAGCTATGTAGTTAGTAAACATAAGGGATCTTTTGGTAGGATGTTGCTAATCCTACAACTCTACTCCAAAATCAGCAACTATTTTAGGCTTACATTGCTTACATAAGAAGAAAAAACTGTGACCTTCCACTGAGGAAAAAAAGAGCAACAACTTTCTGATATCCTTATGCCTACTCCTCAGTTCCTGTAATCTCCTAGGTTTCTTTTATACCAGCAACTACTAGATAGAACAGTATTATTTAACATATGAGAAAATGCCTTTGCACTGTCACCACCACTTTTACTTGTTATTGTAAAAGAACTCTTAAATGCAACATATTTCTTAGCATATATGCCTATCAGACAGCAGATAAAATTATCAGATAAATTAGAAATAACTTTCCAAATAAAAGATATAACTTTAATCCAAGCTCTTGGGAAATAGAGGAAAGAGAATCTCTGTTGAGTTTGAGGTCAGCCTGATCTACACAGTAAGTTCTAGGCCAGCCAGGGATACATAGTAAGATCCTGTCTCAAAAGTAAAGTTTAGAGGCTGACAAGGTGGTTAAGCTAGCAATGGTGCTTGCAACCAAGCCTCATTATGTTGAGTTCAATCCCTGGACCCTACATGGCAGGAGAGAACTAACTCCCAATGGTTGTCTCTGGCCTCCACATAGGTCATACACACACACACACAAAAAAAAAGTATTACAAAAATTAAATGAAAAACTATTCTTTAAACATAAAGAAATGTAAAATAATAAAGTTTAAAAAGGATTTAGTTCCTATATAGCTGTAGTGTTTATTTTGTGCTAGAAATCAAAACCACTGCCTCACACATGCTGAGCACACATGCTACCAACTGAGCTATACCACAGTATGCTACCATGTTTAAACACCGTTATTTGAGTTTTGAGGAGTAACCCAGTGGTAGAGTGCTTTCTTAGCAATTAGAAGGCCCTGGGTGCAGCACCAGCAGAGAGAATTACATACATACATGCAAAAGTAAATAAACAAGCAAACAGCCAGATTTTCTAGAGCATTAAATTTAAAACTTCATTTAGGTTATCTCACAAGGAAATCATAAACCAGGCATAATGGTGTATACTTATAATCCCAATCCCACTCTGGGTGGCTGGGGAGGAAGACTCTTAAGTTCAAGGCCTACTTGGTATATAGTGAGAGCTAGTCACAAAATGGGGCCAGCGAAATGGTTTAGTGAAGGCACTTGCTACCTGAAGACCTGTTCAATCCCTGAGATCCACATGGCATAGTGGAAGTATAAGTAATTCCTGCAAATTGTCCCCTGACCTCAAGGGCAGGTGCAAATATACACAAAATAAATGTAAAAAAATGGAAATCCTAAATTACAGATTATGAAATTAATCCACAGGTAATAGCACCTTAACTGTCTCAAATCACTTACTTTATATTTTATTATTTTTTTATCTTATGTATATGAGTGCATTGTGTACATGTGTGTAAGTGTACCCGTGTCATGTAATACCTATGGAGGTCAGAAGAGGGGGTTGGATCCCCTGGAACTGGAGTTTATGTATGGTTGCTGGCTGCCATGTGGTGCTAGGAATCAAACCCAAGTCTTCTGCAAGAGAAGTCAGTGCTCTTAATCGCTGAGCCATCTCTCTAGTCCCAAACCACTTGTACTTATTTGAACTCAATAAATATTAAAAGTCATAATCAATTTATCTACCTGATAATCCTGAGGTAATTTTGGGATTATATAAGCAAAATCCCAGGGCCTGTAGGGCAGCACTACTCAGTTCTGAGTTTTGACTGGAAATGTGAGCCTACAAAAACAAAATCACATTTATAGCAGAGAAACAATTTCTAAGAAATAAAGCCAGTTACAAACCAGTTATTACATTTTAATCCACTCAATCCAGGCAACTTTTTGGGAATAGGGAAAAAAGATCAGGAAGCTAGCTACATAGCTTAGCGAAAGAGGCTGGAACTAGAAATAAGATCAACTGGAAGAACATTTTTATTAAAAGATAAAGGACATCCCCATGTACCCATGCAAACACAAAGAAAAGCCAAGGGGACAAAGATGTTAAGATTATTAGACAGGAAACAAACAGGAGCATGGCAGCTCTCCTACAACAGATTAGCAAGTCTCAAATGAAAAGTGGACATCCTAGCTTTAGTATGGTGCTGCCTTCTTCCAGGGGAAGGGGAGAAAAGCGGTTGCAATGTAACACTTCCCAAGTATCTAAGTGTTAGGCACTTTAAAATATCTCAATCTTAAATTTAAAAATTTTTAAGAAATTTGGGGCTAGAGATGTAGCTCAGTTGGCAAAGTGCTTGCCTAGCATGCATGAAGCCCTGGGTTCAAGCCCCAGCACTGCATAAATAGTGTGGTGGCACATGCCTGTAATCCCAGCACTGGGGAGGCAGGAGGATCAGAAGTTCAAGGTCATCCTCAGCTATATAGAAGTTCAAGGCAAGCCTGGACTAGAGACCCTGTCAAAAAAATAGTAATAATAATAACTTCAATAAGTTTGGGGTAATGTTTCCACTATAAAACCAAGAATATTGAAAAGTATTGATGGCTGATCACAAAGTCATTAAGTGGTCAAGAAAAGGAAAGAACAGACAGACTGGTGTTAAATACTATTACCACTAAACAAAGCAAAAACAGTTAACTATAATTTAAAAATATGCGTTACAATTTTTCAACCAGGCATAATTAGCAAACTGAAGGTGAATCAAGATCTAAAGAATGTGAATACTGCTGGACATGTGAATGTTGGCCTGTAATTCCAGCAGTGGCTGGGGGACTATCACCTGGATGGCTACTTTAAAAAGTTCCAGGCCAGCCAGGGACACACTAGGACGCTCAAACTTTCTGCCCAGACGAAAAAAAAAAAAAAAAAAAAAAAAAAAAAAAAAAAAAAAAAAAAAAAACCAAAGAAACACATATGAATATTCTCTTATCTATAGTGTAGACCAAAGATAGCTGTCATTTTAAGGTAACTTATGTAGAAATGTATTTCCCCCAAACAGGTAAATTTGTGACTATTGCTTTTAAGAGAAAAGGCTTTGGATTCAAATGGCAATGAGGAACTTTAGGCAAATTACGCCAATTTTCCTAAGGTGCCAAGTAGGACTCAGAGTAAACTCAGGGCTACAGGCAGAACTCTGTGGTACATACAGAACATTTGCCAAGCATACCAGGGGTCCTGGGGTCTGGAGAATTAATCTGAGAGCGCATATGTAAGGCAATTAAGAGTATCTGATGAATTTTAAGTAATCAAAAAGTGTACTAATCCTATCAATACTACTGCTATTTTACATTCAAGGTGTTACTAGCTCACCGGGTGATGTCACACCACTCAAATGTTGTATCCAAAGTAAAAAACTGTAATAATGGAAAGCTAGGTAGAATGGCTTATACTTATAAGCCTTGCACTTGAAAGGACTTGCTGGGCCTTCAGGCCAGTCTGGGCTACCTAGTGAGCTCCTGGCCAGCCATGGAGGCAGACTGGGACCCTGTCGCCAAGATATTAAAAAATAAATACCTTTAGAACTCTATACAGCCGAGGAAGATTTTTCTCAATTTCTGTAATGACTTCTTTTCCTTCTTCTCCAGTCATACGACTTTAAAAGAAGACAGGATACAAGTTTAGGCAAAAGGCAGAAACAAAAAAGTACTGTAATTACTTGAAGATTCCTTTCAGGGCAGGACAAATGCTCTCAATATTAGGACACACTTCTCTCTTTGCTGAGGACCAGAGTTTCAATTCCGACACCCCTGTCAGGTGGCTCACCTGTGGTTACCTGTAACTCAGGCTCCACTACCACTGAAGCCCATATACAAATCATTTTCAAAACTCTTTTTCAAAAATTTATTACTTTAATTTTTTTTAATGTGTTATAATGTAGCCCTGTCGAAAAAATATTTTAAAGAGTACTTTCACGTTCTTGAAAATGAATACACTCGATCCTTAAAAACTACACACAGAAAACATTGCAAAATCCATCAGAAGCGGTGACTCCCACCAGAATGTTCTGGCCTTTACTGTGTACTCAAGCATGTTAAGACGAATGGGAATCCCTCTCCTTACTCAGATGTTTACTACTAATTTTGCGAAGTCGTCCGTCCAGATTGGGGAAAACTTCTAGCATTTTCCAAATAGATCAAAAACCAGGTTCCTGTTCAATTAGCAAACCCATTCTGGAGATGCGCTGGGTGGCGTGCACACCTGGAATCTCAGCAGTGGGAAGGCTAATGCGGGACCGTCACAAGTTCGAGGCCAGCGGGGACCCCGTAAGGGAGCCTCTGCCTCTCAAAACCCCTAGCCCGACAAAACCATTCCGAACAGCCACGTTCCCAACACGTCGGAGGTTTGCAATGAAAATCCCTCCTCTTCAAACTACTTCCAGCCCAAACTTAAAAAAAAAAAAAACCTCCAGTTTCCAAGAAAAACGCAAAATCCTCCATCCCCCAGGACCCCAGGGGTGCTGCGGCCGACAGGGGCTCCTCACCTGGCCAGTGGGCCGGGTGCACCCCGACCTCCCTGCGCCCCGGGCCTCCCGGCAGGCCTCACCTGGTCAAGCTTAGGTAGGCGTCCGTCTGCTCTCCAGGGGAGGCCGAAGGGTCTTCCCAGGTCTCCAAGAGCGGCTCCAAGGGGCTGCGACCGGCGGCCGTCATGTCGGCCACCCTGAGGTAGGACCGGAAGAGAGGACGCCGGTGATCGGTGGCACAACCGGCAACGGCCAGGCTCGCGCGGCGCCCACAGCTGCTCGCCGGCCCGAGCG